CCATGGCTGGCTGGGGAATTCTGGGAGTTGAAGTCCACTCCTCTTAGAGTGGCCAAGTTTGGACAACACTGTTCTATGCAATGTGAGCAGACCCATAACACTTACAGCCCCATACTAGTTGTTCTTCGGGTCATGACCAGATAGGAGCTAAGGACATTAAGTTCAAGTTCATCTGCAATAGGTATCAAGAAATCTATCTCTTCTATGACTGGATGTATTAGAATGCAGCTATTGTTTGTAAAAGAAAAAAAGTATTCACCCCCTTTTGGATGTTAGGGGTGTCCTAGTGCTATATAAAGAAAATCTGAAGAAATAGCACCAACATTTCATGAGCAAAGTTATCCAGCATGCGATTTGCCAGTGTGAAAAAATAGTTATCACCTTGGTTCGATCCACTGAATATGAAACTCTGATAACATTTGCGGTCAAAGAGAGCTTTGCAGGGTCTTACCCTCATGGATTAGTCAATAATTAGAGTCTCACTTCTTTCAGGAAGCAAGTACAGTTCCGTAAATAATGGGGTGTGAAACAAAATCCAAGGCAAGATTCTGATTAGATTCAGAAAATTGGTCCAGTGTGATGTGGTTTTCCAAATTAAGCCGAGAAAGATGTTTTTGCATAGATAGATAGACAGACAGACAGACAGACAGACAGACAGACAGACGGATAGGGTTGGATAGATAGATATTAGACAGATATAGATGTACAAATAAATGGATGGATGGATGGATGGATGGATGGATGGATGGATGGATGGATGGATGAATAGATGATAGATAGACAGACAGACAGACAGACCAACCCTGACCCTCACGTTTCCAGCTAATGGAGATTTGGGGAAGACTCTTCCACTGGATTCTTTACAAGAACATAAGAGAAGAACATCACACATGATCAAAACATTTTTTTCCATTTACTTTCTTCAATTATTGGCAGACTGGTGTTTTAAAGAAGCTGAGAAGAGGGCTTTAAAAATAACTAACCTCCCACAGTCTTGCTGATAGTCTGTCAGAGACAGCCTCCAAACCTGGAGCTTTAATTGAAGTAACCACAACCAAACACCCCCTCCAGCCCCATGACCCTGTCTAATCCATTTTTCCAGTCACGGAAGGACCCTATCCATCACCACCTAAGGTGGCAGGGAATTCCACAAGTTAATTATATGGGAAAGAAAAGAAAGAAACTGTGCTTAATCTGCCTTTACAGATCATGTGAGAACTGTCCTGTCTCTAAGGAAAGTACTCAAGGGCCCCATTCAGAAAGATTTTCTGTCCCTCGAGCTTTCTTAACCCTGCCTTCCCCAATCTGGTGGCCTCCAGACGTTGGGACTGCAACTCCCCAAGTTTTGAGATTTCTCACCTGGCAAAGGATTCTGAGATTTGCCATCCCAAACAAGTCCAGAGGGGACCAAGTGGAAACCAGATTGTTCAGACCTGCTTGTCCCTTCACATAAGTGACTCTTAGCAGCCTTGGGCAACAAAACACCAACATTTTAGGTGCATGCATTACTTATCTCCAAAGGCAAGAAGGGGGCATACGCTCCGTGTTCTCACCCCTCCCATCTTCTAACCCTCCCTGCCTCTCCCCAACGCACACCACGTCTTCTCACCATCAAGAGGAAGGTCGCCAGGGCTTCTGCCAGAGTCTGGCGGACAGTTTCATTCCGGACCGTCACCGAGTTGATTAATTTTTCCAACATCTTAGCTACTGACATCCAGATACGACTTCTGTTGGAAAGGGAGACGTCATTCTAAAGAGCCTTGGCCTTGCAAAGGCTTGAAACGCAGCACTGTTCTTTCATCTCCACCTGGGCGTGTACTGACAGTTCGTACTGTCTGGTTAAAGGCTAACTGGTCAATTGAGCATCTGCTGTTGTCTTTACATAGCCCTT